TGTAACTTTTCTGATAATTAGGATGACTTGTATTTTTCTTCTAATATGTATTTCTGGTTCTATTTTTATAATTTAAAATAATTTTATTGAGTACTATTAATCCTTTATTCTTTCACAGTAATTACTATAAGCACTAATGAAATTGGTTTACATAATCTTACTGCCTTTCTTGTACTACACAGTTATAGTCAATAGTGTTATCTTTCTCAGTGTTTACCTTTGTACTGTTGAATATGTTTATACTTCTACCAACTGATTTGTCAGCTTTAAAGGATGTCCTTTGACTCCCAGCCATTACAGATGAAGCGATCCATAAACTTATTTTACCTCCAATTTTTTCCTACTTCCTACTTCTCTTAATTTTTTAAAGTTTTATAACCAATTCCTACATTATCAGATATTTAACATACACATTTTATTCTTTCTTCCTTATTCCCACTTTCATTTTAGTCTCCGGTCTATAGTTAAATATATTTAATGCTCTCCAAAAGTACTTTTTGCCAGCTTTCTTACTCATCTCTAGAGATGAAGTTCATGCTCCAATAGTTTCCTTAAGAGGGCTTAGACTAACAATATACCCTTTGCCTTACATGTTCAAATTGTTTATACTTGAAGAGCATTTTACAGATAATAAAAATGAAGGCACAGAAAGATTAAATAATTTGTACGTGCTAGCAAGGGGTAGAGCCAAGATTTGAACTCTGAAGTTTACTTCCAGAGTCCACACTCTTACTTGTTACCCCAACAAATTCAGGTATTCAATTTTAATCATAGAAGACATACCACCATTTAGAAGAAATAATGACAAAGCAACTAGGATGCATGAGAACATTGGCGCCTGGGTGGTTGAGCTGGTTAATAGTCTGCCTTCGGCTCAGGTTGTGATCCCAGGGCCCTGGGATGGAGCCTTGCCCACAGAGAGTCTGCTTCTCCCTCTCCCTCTGCCCCTCCTCCTGCTCTAACTCTCAAATAAATAAAATCTTTTTAAAAAAGAGAGAAGCAGCAGCATATTTTAGAAACTGTGCTAGGCTAGGCAAAAGTGGATTAAGGAGGTTGAATCATGTGGTTAAAAGCACTAGGGCCTCTGGAGTCAATGCTCGATCTGAATATTGGCTCTGCTACTTATGATACCTTGAACACACTGTTTAACCTCCATGAGCCCCATCTGTAAAATGAGGATAAGACTGACTACCTCATGGGATGTTGTGAAGTTTTAATGAGATAACGTATTTTATATAGGGCCAAACACAATGCCTAGCACATAAGTAAGTATGGGTTTTAATAAGCTAACTACTTTTTAAAATTATTACAATCATGAGATTAATCAAGAAAACTACACATCTAGTTTCCTAAGACTATTCTGAAAAAAGGAAAAATCTCAATTTTCTAAGAAGTGAAAAAGAAGCCTATTTTCTATAAATGAAATGCCATCTTACTCTCAGCCAATTGTTTTTAATAGTAAGTTCAAGTCCCAGCTCCTTCGTGCGAAGTACCCTAATGATCCAATCCACAATGATATAGTCTCTCAACCTCTCTTAACGTACCACTTTAAGCATTTTATAATAAAGTGTCTTATTCTATCTTAACAAAACTTCGTAATATTCTATTAGTACATACTGTTACATATTTTTCCATTGCCTTTTTAACTAAATGTTTTGTATGTCATCTTGTCTCATTAACTAGACAATGTCTTTTTTCAATCAAATATTACAACTTTTACCCTTTTTGGAATCAAAATTGCTTAATACAGGGTGAGTACATAAAAAGTTTTGCTTTGTTTGATTTTGAATGTTTATATTTAGGTAAATACAAAAAGACTGATAAGCTAGAAAGATTACTTTTGGGTAAAACATTTAATTTTTAAATTCTTAAGTGGTTAAAGGAAAAAATAACTTTAATAACTAACTTTTCTTACTTAAAAATAGGGAAAGGTATCATTAGAGGAAAAAGAGGTTTTAGAAGATGCTTTAGAATAATTTCTAAAAGTGAAAACAAAACAGCTATATATATTTAAAAAACCCAACTGAATAAAACTACAGTATGTCTAACAGCAAAGGTACAACAAGGGTTACCTAATTCATGAACACTTAGTTAATGTGTAACATTTACTGAAAGAGAAAGGAATTCACAAGTACATAAAAGGGTTAAGTGGGAATTCAAACATTTATAAAAGTCTATTTCTTGTTTGTACGTAGCACTCAATGTTCCACTAGATGCAGTTGCACTTATTAACTTGTACTGAACACAAGGTTTCAAAACTGTTTTGTTTTGTTTTAAATCACTACAACAATGGCCTGGAACTACCTTATGTGGTCTGAATCTAATTAAAGAAGAATACCATAATCTTATCCGTTGCAATCATTCTCAAAACACTAAGAATACTATGGAAATAACTGCCTGCATTATTTCCTTCTCTTAGAAATGATCACTTAGTGGGGCGCCTGGGTGGCTCAGTTGGTTAGGTGACTGCCTTCGGTTCAGGTCATGATCCTGGAGTCCCGGGATCGAGTCCCACATCGGGCTCCCTGCTCAGCAGGGAGCCTGCTTCTCCCTCTGACCCTCTTCCCTCTTGTGCGTGCTCTCTCTCTCTCTCTCTCAAATAAATAAATAAAGTCTTTAAAAAAAAAAAAAAGAAATGATCACTTAGTTGTAACTAATTTTCTTGAAAATCTGAAGAATGGTTAGATTAAACCATGTGTACTTCCCAAGTGAGACATGCTTTAAAAGCTTTGTGCAATTTTTTTTCAATATCATATGTGATTAGAATTCACACTATGTGGACTTATTTCATTCAAGACTATTTTACACAGAACAAAATCATTCTGATAATACAAAAAGAAAATTGTGAGGACAGTGGCTTATTCACATATGTCATCTACAAGACAATATTGATGGCACAGCAATTTAGGATATGGTATCTGGAGCCATACCCTCAGTTTAAATTCCAGCCCCACCTTGTCCTAGCTCTCACATGCTCTATGTGCGTCTTGGCTACCCACTTGGTAAAATAAGTATAATGAAAGTATGTATAAGAAGGACTGCTGTGAGGAGCGCCTGGGTGGCTTGGTCGGTTGAGTGTCCACTTTTGGCTCAGGTCATGATCCCAGGGTCCTGGGATCAAGTCCCGAGTCAGGCTCCAGGCTCAGCAGCGAGCCTACTTCTTCCTCCCCCTGTGTGTGCTCATGCTCTATCACTCTCTCTCCAGCTCTCATTCTCTCTCAAATAAACAAATAAAATCTTAAGAAAAAAAAAAAGGAGGGTTGTGAGAATTAAATGAGGCATTACACAGAGAGCTTAGAACAGTGCCCGGCACACAGTAAATACATGCTTGTAAATGTCAGCTATTGCAAAAGTCACAATTTAAAATGTTTATCCCAATGAATCTTCAAGAATACATCTATTGAAGGGGCACCTGGGTGGCTCAGTCAGTTGAGCGTCTGGCTCTTGGATTTGGCTCAGGTCTTAATCTCTTGAGATGAGGCCCGGAATCAGGCTCCATGCTGAGCGGGGAGTCTCCTTGGGATTCTCTCTCTCTCTGCCCCTCTCCCATTGCGCACGTGCACTTGCTCTCTCTAATAAATAAATAAATCTTTTTTAAAAAAAGAATACATCTATTGAATAAAATTTATGTTCCAGACTAGAACTCATTTTTTCATCCAAGTTTCTCCCCACAACATGCATGTAGTTAAATGCATGCATTTAAGTGGAAGCTTTTTTGTCTTTCTGCTCATTTTCTAATTGCTAATTCTGTAAAGCAGTACTAAAACCCAACAGTACTACTGTCTAAAAAATACCAAACTTACACTGCTACATACAGAGATGACTCATACCTCAGAAAGTAAAAAGTGGAAGCATTAATAGGATTGGAAACTCTTACTCTCAAACAATCTCTAGCTGGCACTGTGGTAAAAATCTATCTTGTGTGGGCAAATATCTTATTATGGATGGGCACATTTGTTCTAGAGGATTTATTTAGTGTTATCAATGTTCTAGGCTCATCTCATTCAACCAAAACCAAATCAAAGAACTAATTGTGTGCTGAACTAAATGCTGTCATACTTATCTAGAATCTAATAAATAAAACTTTTTGAGCTGAAATTAACCTATCTAAGAATGACATTTCCTAAAACACTGTAAAAATAAATTTAATAATATCACCTGACAAGAATTTTTAACCTGGGATCTGTAAACCTCATGAAATGATACAGAAAATTCTGTGTGTGTGTGTGTGTGCATTTTTCTAGGAAGGTGATCCAATGCTTTCATCAGATCCTAAAAAGGGAGTGGAATTCCAAAAAGTTAAGAATCACTGCTTTTTACAGTTATAAATTTCTTTTTGTCCTTATATTATTAGTTTCAAAAAGAACCTGCTTATATAAAATTAAGCAGTATAATTCTAAATCCATTCCAATCTCACATTTCCCAAATAACTTTGAATATGTATAACAAATTCACAACTACAAAAACACTTCAAGTTATTCAAAAGTTCTTAGAGCCTACAAACCTTTCCCAGAGCTGTTTAAGAGACAGTAAGAAACAAAGAGCACAGAACCACTAAAAAACGGTTGAGTGAACTTTAGCCAACCCCGGTACAGTCCGTATGTACAGAAAACATGGGCCGGTATGATAGAAGAGCGAGGCTCTAATTATCGACTGAATACAGTTACAAGTGGCTACAAAGACAGTCAAATTTCAGTATTCTATAGTTAGAAAAGACAGTTTTGGAGATAAATCCAGACCATCACTGCAACTTCAGAAAGACCTACATAAAATTAGTTGCTTGAGCTCACAGAAAAGTTCATAATGCCCACAAGCCCATGCAATAGTTTGATTCGTTTTACAACTACCCTGTAATTTAATCTCTCATTAGAATAACTTATTAGCAAAAACATACAACTTAATGAGATTTCCTTCGAGGTACAGGCTGAGACTGGCGACTACCCTTGAAATAATCCAATCCCGTTTCAATGACAGTAACCTTCAGTTAAAAACCTATGAACCTTTAAACCTGGCAACAGTTCAAAATCAAACAAAAAATCATCACCAAACTAAAGTTAACCAAAGTGATCCTGAGGTCTGCTTCCTTCCCTCGCCCTTCGGGCCCGCACCTCTTTGTGCCCAAGGGTGTGAGGGTCTTCTAACCTCAGACCCCAGTTACCGGCCCTGGAACGACACCCTGTCGTAAGCCTCAGGGGAGGTCCTGCTCAGCAGTGGAAACGTTGGCGGATGTGGATCAGCGCGATCCCCGAAGCAGTCGTGACGCCAGGCGTTGTCCCGACGGGCCCGAAACGAAGACCGGGGCGCGCCGCCACCACAGACCGGGCCGCAGGCTGACGGGGACCAGCGGAGACAGATGCCGCGGTCCCAGCTTTCGCCTGTGCTCTACCTCAACGCCCGAAGGCCGGCGAAGAAGACGGGGGTAGGGGAAGGAGAGACGGACACACCTGGCGGGGACCCTCAGCGACCGGTTCCTGTGTTAGCGCGACGCCCGTCGGACGCTCCCAGCATTCGTCGCCGCCCCTCCTCCAGCCCCAGGGCCACCTCCACGTTCCGCTCCAACGTGGCAGCCGCAGCTCCTCCCAGCCGGCTGGCCGGCGCTTCCGGAAGCGACGCCTCGCCCGGCCCACTCCGGCGCGCTGCCCACCACGGCACTTCCGGGAGCGGTGGCAGGCGGAGTCCTGGGCGCTGGGCCTGCGGTGAGGCCGGCGGCGACCTGTGCGCCTGTGGGGCTGGCGACCCGTTCTGAAGGGCGGCGTGCAGGGCGAGGGTGCGATGACCCGGGCACTCGAAAAAGAAAAGTCCTGCTGGGTGTAGCTGTCTGCTCGAGGAACTGCCGAGGCCCGCAGGAACGCCACGTAGCGTTAGTCCTATGAGACGTGGGCAGCCCCGGCAACACCGCCAACACCGGACAAATCACGTGAAAACGGGCTGTAGGGCCCTAATTGAACTAATTTGTGATTGGGTTTTAAGATTTTTTAAAAATATTTTATTTATTTGAGAGAGAGAATGAGAGAGAGAATGAGATAGAGCATGAGAGGGGGGGGAGGGTCAGAAGGAGAAGCGGACTCCCTGCTCAGCAGGGAGCCTGATGCCCGCATCGATCCTGGGACACCAGGGTCATGACCTGAGCTTGGGCAGTCGCCCAACCAACTGAGCCACCCAGGCACCCTTTTTAAGATTTTATTTATTTATTTGAGAGGACAGAAAGAGCACACAAGCAGAGGGAGAGGGAGAAGCAGACTCCCCACCGAGCAGGGAAACCAATGCGGGACTCGATCCTAGGACCCTGGGATCATGACCTGAGCCGAAGGCAGACGCTCAACGACTGAGCCACCCAGGCTCCGTGATTGGGTTTTTTTTTAATCGCACAGTTGGTTCTAGGGTATTGCGTTTTGAGAACTTCTTTAAAAACCAAATGGTCTGGTCAGAGTCTGTTGTGGGCACGCCTGGGTGAGTCAGTGGGGTTAAGCCCGTCTGCCTTTGGTTCAGGTCATGATCCCTGGGATCCAGCCCTACATTGGGCTCCTAGCTCAGCGGGGAGTCTGCTTCTTCCTCTGCCTGTGCTCTCTTAAATAAATAAAACATTAAAAAAAATGAAGTCTGTTATGGACATTCTTACTCTGTTACTCCAAAGGGGCATAGTGGAGTCAAGTAGTCCCATTACCATGGTATGGTACTGCTTGAGATCTACTAAGATTTGCCCTTTGTCACTGGAACATTACTAGCTCCGCCAGACCCTGGCATCTAATTAATTGCCTGGATGTCGTTTTTAGTTTAGGAGTTGTTTTGCAGCATAGAAAGTAAAACCAGAGGAAAAGCACTTGGTATTACTAACGATCAGAACCTGGACCGAACCCAGGTCTACTATAGCAGTTCTCTTTCCATTACACTGATCAACATTATCTCCTCAGGCCTTCTCTAAAGCACCTTTACTTCTAAGTACAAGAGAGTAGGATTTTTGCACTTTTTCGAACACCCTTTTAATTTGAAAAGCCGAGTTTGTTTTTCTAGGACAGAAATAGATTAAACGGATTACTTAGGTTACAGTAGCTAACTTCTAGTGTTCTACAAAACCATTTCTACCTACAGCTTTTACCTAGAAGTGCCAATAAAAAATCCGACTTAAAAGTGGGTCTGTTGGGCGCCTGGGTGGCTCAGTTGGTTAAGGGACTGCCTTTGGCTCAGGTCATGAGTCTGGAGTCCTGGGATCGAGTCCCGTATCGGGCTCCCTGTTCAGCAGGGAGTCTGCTTCTCCCTCTGACCCTCTACCCTCTCATGCTCTCTCTCTCTCAAATAAATAAAATCTTAAAAAAGTGGGCCTATCATTTGAGTCAAGAAGAAACACCCAGTCCTTACTACCCCAGACCTCCTACTACCTGGAATTGTACATTAGTATGGAGAAAGTGTTCATTCGAACTTCACCAAAACTCAGTGATTCAAGCAGTGGTTACATTCTTTGGTATCATTTAATGTACATGTTCCTATCGCATTAAGTCAAACTACAAAGCTCCCTGCTCCCCACCCGCTTTTGTAGGCTGTGAGGTAAAAAAGGTAGTTCATGAAATGTCTCATGATTGGAACATAGCCACTTTCAGTGGTTTATGTATTGTCAATGGCGGTTTTCGTGCTACATGGGCAAACTTGAGTAGTTGCTACAGAGACCATAATTGCCTGCAAAGCCTCAAGTATTTACTGTATGGCCCTTTACAAGTTTGCCAATCCCTACTCTTTCAGAGAGGATTTTACCTACAAATGGATTAATACTCAAAAAGTATAAGACATACAGTATTGTAAATTTATTTAAAAGCCTTGACATAGTAGCATACAAAGGCAGTATGCAAAATGTCAACTACAGGGACACCTGGGTGGCTCAGCTGGTTAAGTGTCTGCCTTCTGCTCAGGTCATGATCCCAGGATCCTGGGATCGAGTCCCGTATTTGGCTCCTTGCTCAACAGAGAGCCTGCTTCTCCCTCTGCCTGCGGCTCCCCCTGCTTGTGTACACGCTCCCGCTCTAATAAATATATTAAAAAAAATGTCAATTGTAACTCGTGATCATAAAGGTAAAGTGTATTTGTTTCTAGACTTAACCTATTTATCTGGTTAAATATAAAGAGTTCCTAGCTTGTTTTAAATGCAGGGAGTTCTCACGTGGACTCTGCAAGCTGAAACTGCAATCTTAATCTACGGGATTAACAATCTTGTTCTGTAACCTTAAAATCTGTCAAACTCTCTTGATGTTGGTTATAAATACAAAAAATACTTAAAACAGAAACATTGAAAATTACAGCGTTTTATTTACAGAAAAGTCTCAACAGTAGTTTGAATAGTGCTTGCTTTCTCATGTAATTTACAATATGGAGCAAGAATCTTTTCTTCACCTTGGCAAACTGTCATACTCCTGAGTTTGGATCTGCTTCTAAAATTTTATTCTTTACGCATTCAATGTCATGAAATATCTGAGAGTTCCTTCAATGTGGTTTGTCACCTGCAGCACTTCCTCTGAAACGTATTCATCCTTTACAACACACAACGGCTTTCCTCCTTTATAACTATGTTCACTTTCACTAAATTCTTCTGGCTGTATGTCTAGACTACTTCTTGAAGTAGCAGCAGTGTTAACATTCCCAGTCATCTGTATCTTCTAGAACTCCATTTACATTACAGCCAAACCCTGTGATGTTTTTACACAGTAGTCTTCTAATGTACAAAGCAACGACTGCCTATGATTCTTGGAATAATGTGCAAATTTCACAGTAGCATCCTTATCTGAGCTTGCAGCTTCACCAGAGAGCAGAAAATTAATCAATTCATGCCGACTTTGCAAACGACGAAACCAGCCTTTATTAGCAGTAAAATGTTCTTTTTCAGTCCCCTTGTAGTTAACCATTTTCCTTCAGTGCAGCAACTAACCTCAACACTTTGGCTTGAATGCTAGCCAAACTGATTGGGATTTGTTTTTTATTAGAGTCCTCAGTCCCAAGTAGAAGTAAACATTCCATTTCAACCATACATGGCTTTCTGTTCCTAGTACAATTTAAACTAAAAAATGTTGAAGCAACTTTACCTAAAAGTTTCACTGAACTTTTAAAAGATGGTTCGTACTATAGGTTCACGTCAGCCTAGGTCTCATCTTGTCTTCACTATGCTGTCACCATTTTCAAATCTTCTAATGACGTCCAATTTCACTTCCAGTGTTACCACTTTTTGTTTCTTTGCTGCCCTGTCATCTTTGTTGACCAATTCCCTCTTGATTATCCATTTTTGTAAAATGTCGGGGGGTTTATCACTGGAAAACAACTAGGCAACACAACTACATGCTTTACTCTGTTTGTGAACAGATGTTCAGTTATCAATCACCAACAGACTTTTGAAAGAAGTGATATAAGTGGTTACTGACAATCTTTTATATGCATAATCATTTATGGAATAAAGAGCTACCAGCAAAGCTTATGCAACAATTTGGTTATTATTGTGGTAACTGAAATTTCAACCATGTTGTAGGGGAATTGATGTTATTTAACTAAACTGTGAAAACTGATCTTCACGTATATTGGAATGATGCAAAGTAAGGACTACCTGTATCTAAAAAGAAAAATTGTATTAGTTCACAAAATAGTCAACTTTTAACCCAATTTAACTACTGGTCAAACATAACTGTAGATCAAAATAAAAACCAAAGGTTTTCTCAAAGGAATGTTAGTTCCAGACTGAATTACTCATTGGAGCTGGAAAAATGTTTGGAGACAAATACATATTCTTCATATTAGGATTTGCAGACAGCCCAAAGACATCCTTTTGAGAATTTAGGCCCCTTCCCCTCATTTCAGTAATCTTGAGGTCTGCAAAAAAGTAAGTTCTGGCCAAATCTACTGTCGTCCAGGCTGTAAAGCTTTACAGTCATCACAAGGCACAAGACTGTATGTGTTTACAACTTATTCCATACCAGCCAGCAAGCACTATGTTTACTTTTGTAACAGTAGCATCCATCTCATTAATGTTTTAGTTTTGTTTTTGAATGCACTTATTTTGTACATCTTTTCATTAAGGCATATAAGCAAAGTTTACATCAACTTTTATGTTTGTATAAATTTATGAAATAGAAAATGTGTGAATCAATTTTGAGTATTTGCAAAAATTTTTCTCCTTTATATTCCTCAGATTTGAAACACCCCAAGACTACATGCATACTGACAGACTAATCTGGTATTAGATTTGAGATTTCCAGCTTTTGACTACCTACTTATCTACTGTTCTTGACTAAAGCTTAAGTTACAGGATGGTCATTCATTGGCATATCAAAGAGTCATTTATAGATGATCCAAAAGTTCAGCAAATTTGAACCCTGGAATATATGATCTCTAAGAATTTCAGGGGCTGAATTACATTATTGTTTCTGAGAAAAGATGATCATCAAGGTTAAAAGTCCTGACCCCAGCCACCCAATTGCCAATCCTGAATCAAATCTATTGATTTAGAAAATTATCTTTCAAAGGTGAAAGGGAAAAAAATTCGAGTATGATATCCACATTATGCTCACATATTGTTTGCTGATATCTGATTTTCTGTTCGTCAAAATTAACAAATTAATAAACCTCTTACCTTACTATATAAATGTTCACATTTTTTTTATCAGGTAAATCTGACAAAATGATGTTCTTTATGAAAAACCCTCAATTTCATTCCTAAAAGGGAAAAATTAAGTAAATCAACAGACAGAAACTATAGTCTATCTATACTTTTTTTCTCCCACTATGATTTTCTTTTTCCATTATGTCCTCATCCACATACATTAATCACAACAAATCATGATGTGAACAGCAGTGGAAAAAGTTTAATCATTGGACATTTATATTTTTTTCCTATTTTCAACTTAAGCTGTAATCCTAAATTTTCCATGGATTAGCCCTTTTTAAACACATAAAACACATTTCTATAAATTTTAATTCTCATAAACAGATTAAGACCTCCAATTTTACTACGATTGGAAAAAAAACTCATACCAAAGATAATTTCAAGTATTTATTTATCTACTTTGCATAGATTACCTTATGCTAATTTAGAAATGTATTCTCAACATTAAGCTTGACATGGAAAGGGTAACTATAGCTTAATACTAATACATTCCAAAACTGGTTATATCTTGTTTTATAGTAATGTTTTTTGTTATTTGACAAGGTTTCCAAGCATCAGAAGCATGTAAGCTTTAAAAGAAAAGGGGGAGAGTTGTCACTCCTAACAAAGAACTTTTAAGCAGTGATAAAGGGAAAAGAAGACTCCAAGGATTACAAATCCTTGGCACTAATTAGAATTCTGCCAATTATGGGCATTCTGATTGCTTTGCCAAGTCTATATTTTGCTCATTAAAAGGGACAGACGACCATGGGGGGAGGGTAGCAACAGAAAGAAAGGAAGTATGGGGTGCCTGGGTGGCTCAGTTGGTTAAGTGTCTGACTCTTAATCTCAGGGTTGTGAGTTCAAGCCCTGTGTTGGGCTCCATGCTGGGTGTGGAGCCTACTTAAAAAAAAAAAGTATACTCACCATATTGGATAAATATCAAGCTTTTGAGGAAAAGGACACAAAGTGCCTAAAGCTGCTGCTGCATATTTATACCTTTATTCCATTCTATGTCAAATATTTGTGTAAGTGCCTTTAAATAATTGGACTATGTTCCTTCAAAAACTGGAAACAGAAATTTCAACCTAAGTCAGTCTGCATCCCAAGCAAAATACCAGTACTTATATCTATAGTCTTCTCTAGCCACCTCCACCTAGGAAGAATTGGGAAAAGGGAAATGGGTCCAAGAAAAATATATATGACCAACATAGAGTATTCTAGCTATAAAATGAGCTTTCTTATACAATCCTTAGCAAATTTCCAAAAGGAAAGTAGCATCACTTATGGAATTTATATATTCATGGGCAAGAAACTGTGCACCTTAGAAAAGAGAGCACTTATTAGATACAGAGGCTCTCATACTTCTAATTATCTGACCAGAGGATCAAATATCAAACTCCTGATTCAATAAATTGAAGCAGTTAAAAAAAAAAAAAAAAAAAAAGGCAAGCGTGGTAGTTGACCTCCAAGAGGATCCCCAACAATCCTCCACCCTTGGTATTCACACCCTTGTACGTGCCCACCTCCATGTCATCTTGGCATTTCTCTCTTGGATCATTCCCTCTGGTGGAAGCCAGTTGTCATGTTGTGAGGATACTCAGGCAGCCTATGTTCACATGGTGAAGAACTGAAGTCTTTAGCCAACAGCCATCAAGGAACTGAGGCTTACCAAGTCAGAGTCTGGAAAACTGATGTCTCTGCTTCACCCTCCTCCCATTGTAAGGTAAGTGTTTATTGTTGTAAACTACTAAGTTTTGGGGGATTTTTACATAACAATAATTAATACAGAGGGCCACAATCCATATTCAAAAAGTAAAATGTAGGGGTGCCTGGGTGGCTCAGTTGGTTGGGTGGCCAATTTTTGATTTTGGCTTGGGTCATGATCTTGGGGTCCCAGGACAGAGCCCCGTGTTGTACTCTCCACTCAGCTCTTCCTCTCCCTCCCCTGCCCCCCTGCCACTTGCAGTTGTGTTTTCTCTTGAAAATAAATAAAAAGAATCTTTTTTAAAAGAAGAAAGAGTACGCACATGAGAGAGTGTGTGAGAGAGAAGAGGAGCAGGGGAAGGGGGAGAGGGAGAAGCAGACTTCCCACTGAGCAGGGAGCCCAATGCGGGGCTCAATCCCAGAACCCTGGGATCATGACCTGAGCTGAAGGCAGACGCTTAACTGACTGAGCCACCCAGGTGCCCCTAAATAAATATACCTTTTAAAAAAAGGTAAAATGTACAATTTATGAACTAACTGAAAAGATCCGAAATTTTGGAGAAAGGATCAGATTCAGAACAGTTTTTTACAGTTGGTCACCAATAATTTCCAAACCCCAAGGCTTTCTGAACTAAAAGGATGAAAAATTCAGCAAGAATATTACTAGAAATACATTTTAATATATGAGGGCAATAAGGGTTCTAGTAGAACTAGCTAAGGAATCCACAAAAGGGTAGGTGTTCAACAAGGAAGATACTAGTCTTAGAAAGCAAAAAGTCTATTTGCTTTTGAGGTACCTAGGTGGTTCAGTTCGTTAAGTCGCTCCGGTCATGATCTAGGTCCTGGGATCTAGCTCTGCCTCTGGGCTCCCTGCTCAGCAGGGAGTCTGCTTCTCCCTCTGCGGGGGGGGGGGGGGGGGCTCGATTTCTCCTATACTCTAGGAGCGTCCTCTAACAGCCCCCACCCCCTCCCCGTCTCTTAAAATAGTCTATTTGCTTTCATATGCTTGTTGTGAGAAAGTGTTTATAAAAACAAAACTGTGTGTATAAAATGCTAGCACAATGCCTGACATATAATGGTTCAATAACCATTAGCTGTTATTTTCTCCCCCAAGCTACCGAATTAATGAGATTCTATAACAGGAAATTATATTTCACCAAAGCCTTCACAAATCTTTACTTGGACAATCCTCTATTTCCAACTCAGTACTATTGTTCCAGGAACACTTAGTACATTTAAAAGAGAAAGATATACTGATACACTACCTCCCCTGTATATTTGGAGTAATTATCTTCCAAGGCCCAGGAATCTTTTTCCAACATCTCCAAGAATGTTAATTCCTGAAAAAAGATATTTTAAATTACATTGCACAATGGTCAATGCCTTTTGCAATAATACCTTTAATACAGCTTACATATCCTCATTTATATATTCAATAATCACAACGGTTCATTATGTGAACAGCAGTGAAAAGGTTTAATCACTGGATATGAAGTTATTGGAGGAAGCAAAAATAATCAAATGATCAAATTGAGAACCTCAGTGTCACCAGTAAAATAGCAACAAAAATGTAAAAGTTATAACCAAATATAAAGATACATAAATACAACTCAAAAAAAATTACGCATTTATGAAGGATTGCATATTTCCCTATCCAGAGTATGCCCTAAAAATACCTAGGGCAGTGACTCCTCGTGGCTCCCATAAAGTGAGTTTTTCATTTAATCAGTCTACACCATTAAAGTAAACCTGTTTTGGGATGCCTGGGTGGCTCAGTCGTTAAGCATCTGCCTTCGGCTCAAGTCATGATCCCAGGGCCCTGGGATGGAGCCCCGCATCGGGCTTCCTGCTCAGCGGGAAGCCTGCTTCTCCCTCTCCCACTCCCCCTGCTTGTGTTCCCTCTCTCGCTGTGTCTATCAAATAAATAAATAAAATCTTAAAAAAAAAAAAGTAAATCTGTTTTGCAGCATAGCAGTTTTCAGTAACTCGTTTGTACAAGAATGCCTTGAGAATGATGTTGAGAGCCACAGTTTCATCTTTCCTAGGACAGCCACAGTATCTGGAATCCAATTAAGCAGAAAGAAAAGCCCTCTTTTCCTCTGAACCCATGATGCCTAACTGGCTGCAGGGGTACTTTCAACTCTTAACTTAAGAAAATGAAAAACGAGAGCCTCCACCTGGGGCTACCTCCCCAGCTCCACCCACATGCCCTCAGGTGCTCAACAGGTTATACCATTTAGCAGCCCATTATTATACTCAGAGCTCCACTTCTACCTGTAATGTCTAGCATCCACCAGCCTCATTCTTCTAATATACCCTACGGCAGTCTCCACTGAAGTTACCTTGCAGGGGATGGGAGGGCTCAGGAGTACTTCCCCAAGTACTGATCACTATTTTAGAGATGATCAAATTGCATAGATTTCGAGTAATCATTGCTAATTTTCTTTTTTCCCTATAAGCCCTGCTTCTTTCAGATGCACAATTTTCTGAACAGAGGTCTTTTTCAGAAACACGTATGTTATAGAACATACTTTATCTATTTGTGTTCTGGAGGCCGTAAAGACAAATTCACCTTAGACATTATCTCTACACTCAAGGAGCATCCTCTAGCAGGTTCCCTACAAACCCCAAGTCCTTAAAAACTGGGCAACCACCACAATGAAGTACCACTTCACACTCACAAGAACGTGGAGAAAATGGAATCCTCATCCACTGCTAGTGGGAATGTAAAACGGTCCAGCCACTTTGGAAAAACAGTTTGACATATCCTCAAGAGTTTAAATGTAAGTTAGCATATGACCCAGCAATTCCACCCTGATGTATATACTCAAAAGAAAACATATGTCCACAAACTTGTACACTAACGTTCACAGAATTATCCATAATTGCCCCCCACAATGGAAACAACCCAAATGTTTAACTGATGAATGGATAAATAAAATCATGGCACTATATCCATACTTTTGGCAATTAAAAAAAAAAGAAGTACTGATACCCGCTAAAATATGGATGCACCTTAAAAACATTCTAAGTGAAAGAAACCACTCACAAAAGACCATGTATTAATTTCTGATTCCATTTATAAGAAATCTCCAGTATAGGCAAATCTACACCAAAAAAATTAGTGGTTTCCAAGAACTGAGGGTAGGGAAGATAGAGGGAGTGAATGTTAATGAGAATGGGTTTTTGCGGGGGTGGGGTGGGGTAAGGGTGGTTATAAAAATGTTCTAAAACTGATTGTGGTGATGGTTGCCCAACTCACAAATATACTAAACCCCACTGATTTGTACACTTTACGTAGGTTAGTTGTATGGTATGTAACAGTCAATAAAACTGTTACCCAAAAAACCGAAGCAACAATTTTTTCCTTAAAGATAATAGAATATTTTTATCTCTACTTAGGCTTATTTGGGTCTTAATTGGTTCTGTACTAGAAAAGTTTCTAATAGTCTAACAAACTGAAGGTGAATCAAATCCAGGTCCTACCCTTTGCACATATAACAGCCAAGCAAGCACATCCCCATGGATCAATTTCCCCCAAATTCAGGACTATCCTTAGGCCATGTGACTTTAAGAAAGCTACATCTACAAAAGCTCTGTTAACTTCGTTCAAGCAAGATATAAGCATATTATAATGCAAAAGTAGATGTGAATAAGTAATACCTTTTTGGCAGGAATCTGGACTAAGTAAACAAAAAGGGGAAAAAGAAGCAATCTGGCTTGGAAATGTTGGAATCACTCTTGCCTGCTGGAGAAGGAAATGAAAAAATTGAATAGAAAGTACAAACATTTTTCTGTTTCCTTAATGGGCCTCCAATGTTTAGCAGGAGAGAAAGAAGCCATTTAATATGCTAAACATCTCCAAAGGTACAAAATAAACTACGCCCCATTTTGGTCCCAATTTATTTCTTCTATGAAAACTTAAATCTCACGCCGTAAACTTACACAAGACATCATTCTAAGGTCTTCTCACTCCTTGAAAGTTATCCATGATGTCCCACATCCCAACCAAAATCATTTCATTGTCCCTTTCTTCCCGTCCTTCCTCGTACTACTGCCGACGAGTCCCCACTATACAATGCTGCCAAGAGCCTCAAGGATCTTACCTTATTTCCTTCTTAATTCCCCCACAGACAAAGGGTCTTGTAGAAAAGGGTTCGTTGAATTAAATGCCGACGTATCCTCATATTCACTCTTTCAGGCTCCTCCGGGGTCACTTATCTCAGGCCAACCATACCAACAGCTCCTATATTATTATCTCCACATCAAGGAACTACCAAATAAAACGCAAGGAAATGATACGCCTCTCAGTAAATAATTTATTTTGGGCCCAATTTTGTCTTCAATATTTCCAGGGCACCGCGTTTATTCCTCGCCCATCTCTTCCTCCAGCCATATCCTCCAGTCACTTTCTGAGTTCCTACCGGAGACCTATCCGCATGCCCCTGGATTCGCCTCAATTTTGCCCTTGCCTCTTCACTTCGCATTCTCAAGCTCGGTCTCACAAGAACCCCGATGGCATCGGATGTAACCAGATGGGGTTGAAACACGAGGAAAACGAGGCCATCAACAACTAAACCCACTAACCACCCTCGAACAAAGAGGGAGGAGCCGTCAAGTGCTCGTCTTAATGCCTCCGGTTTTTCCGATTGGCTGCAGCGGCACGACGTGGCCTGTGATTGGTCACGACGTCAAGCGCAGCGCCCACGAAGAGGAAGGGTAGGAGTCTTGCGCCTTAAGAGCCCGCCTTTTCCGACAAATAAAGGTCGTAGCCGCCGAGCCCACGGGCGGAGCTAAATCTGTCGCGATTAATGCTGTCACGGAAACACCCAAAGTGGAGCCCCACGTAGCAAGATGACCCGAAGTTGCTCGGCAGTGGGCTGCAGCACCCGGGACACCGTGTTGAGCCGGGAGCGCGGCCTCTCCTTTCACCAGTGCGTGAGAGCAGCCTTCGGCTGTCTAACTCCCAGCACGGCCTGGCGGGCAGTAGGCCAGGGGGGGCGGGGCCGGGCGTGCGTCGCGCCGTTGACGTGACGTGGCGTGACGTGCGTAGCGTGGAGGAAAGGAACGGGGGAAGTTTGAGAGTTAGGGTTTTTCCTGCTGTTCCCGCACATTGTTTACCTCTAAGTTGCTGATTCTTTTTCGTTGCCTACCGCTTACCTAATGGCTTTTAGCGGGGGTTATTCGAAAGGAGTCGTGCTTCCTTTCGGTCGTCTTATTTAACGTGAGACGGGACGGGAGGACAGTTTGGGAGAACTGTCGAGGTTGTTCGATTCCATTAGAGTGTGTGGCTTGCTCATGAGCATGAGTGTAGATGAGTTTTCACCAGTACTGCCTGTCATTGCAAGTTATTCAGTAGAATTGACTGAGCTCTACAAGGCCAGCCAGAATGGCTGCATCTGGTCATGGCAAGAAGTTTCATTTGGCTCCAGAGTGGGGCACATTTTCAGAGCAGTCTAATTTAAACCCACATCTGTAGTCCATCTGTGATATATATATATATATATCATATATATATGACATATATATGTATATGTCATTCAAATCAAAGTTCAAGGCACAATCGGAAGTAGAAAAGTGAGTAAAACAGATTCTCACAGACAAAAAAAATATACTTCAAAAAGAGGTAGTCTACTAAGGTAACAGGAGATGTAGAGAGTTAAACCATTGACAGAGGACTTTTATGAGAAGATCAAAAAGAGCTTTATGGGACAGGTGGTATTTAAATTGGACCTTGAACTTAATCGGGGGTGGGAGTTAGCACTTAAATAGGAATAGCATGGAAAAACGTAAAGGGATGGAAAGTGCAGATAACCAGAGGAGTGGGAAAAGTAGCTTGAAGACATTTAAAAAGAAAAGGTTAAGGAGTTTCAACTATGTGTGGTTGGCCTTTTGTAGTCATTGTTTTGTTTTGTTTTTTTAAATAGGGCTGATTCCTCCAACTTAAGCTGTTGTAATTGTATTTTTTTTTTCTTCCTTCGGGATTTTTTCCCCATCAATTTGTTCCTGTTCTCTTTTTATTTTAAACTGCTCTCTCTACTGATCACTTGTCTAAGTCAATGAGCATGCTCACATTGCTTCCATTTTTAAACAGACTCACAAACTCTTGAGCCTATGTGCACAACTGCACTACCCTACCCCTCCTTCCCTCTGTAACCAGGCTCCTCAGAACAGGAGCATACACCTATTTCCCCAAGTCCTATTGACTTTTCAACCTATTGTAGCCAGATACCTGTCACTACTGCTCTAATGCACTGACAAAGGGTCACCAGTAATCTTCCCAAATCTAAGTGAGCACTTCTAAATCCTTCTCTTGACCTTTTTAACTTTTAATCATATCAACTACTCCATGAAACTCTCACCTCCATTGATTTTATTGACACTCTGTCCCTACTTACCTCCTTTTTCTCTAATTTTTCAATTTTTTGCTGCCATGCTTTTCTTATGACTTCTTAGGTTCTTTAAATGAGGAGGAGTTCATTTATTGCTTTTGTTTATTTTATATACTGAGGACCAAAGTAAGACCTGCTTAATTTTAAGAAAAGAAAGTGATATAATTATTACAGTACTCTGCTATGATTCTTCCAGGCTGATTTCTTCCCCATTCATTCCATTTTCCTGATTCCCAGAAATGATTTTTCTAAAAATGCAAATTTTATGCTAGTTTCCTGAAGAAAGGATTTTAATCTGAACTTTTCAGTGCCTAAAAGACACAGTCGAAGCTCCTCTGTGGAGCCTTTCCTTCTATACCTCTCTTCCAAATGTGAATTACATTCCCTCTGTTTTCTGTTATTGTATATATGTGCTGAATGAAACACATGTCCTTATATATGAATGGGAGGGAATCATCTGTCTTCCTATACCTAGGAAGTTGTAAGGAAGGCAGGAGAAAGGAGAGACAGGGAGAGGAGTTAGAATACTATGATGTTAGTCGTAGCAACAAGGTAGTATTGATCAGAAGGGTTCAGCAAAAGGTAACGTGGGAAGGAAAGAATTTGTCAACTTGCCATTGCCCAGAGGCATCATCTTCAAACTTCTTGATCATGGAGCCCTCTCCATAAGGAAATTTGAGTACAGGCCCCTGATATATGCATGGTGATTTATAAATTACATAACATGAAGTGATGTACTAATATATATTATGAAACACAAAAATCAAAGGATGGGGCAAAAAATTATAAAAATGGATTCTAATATGTTCTTCAGATCTCAGTAGATGAGTCCATTCTCCTCTGGAGGCCACTGATCTGAAGGATAGATCCCAAACTTACTAGAGCATAAAAGATCTTTTATGATCTGACCTCTAGCCATCCTTCCAGCCCATCTGTAACCAGTACCAGCTACCTCCGTACTCTCCTTTAACCCTCTTCAGCTTCCAAATTAACTTATTTTTCAATGCTTTATGAAGTAAGATCCAGTAGTTATTTTATATCTCTGTGTTTTTGCATCTGCTTGGTGTGGCCACTGTCTGCATGGCAAGCTCCTATTGACACTTCAGTTCTTGCTCCAATATTATCTCTTCTGAAGCCTTCCCCAACATCCCAAGCACCATTACCAGAGTTGTGAAAGATGTTGCAGGGACACAGGCAAGGGGCTGTGGCTGAAAACCATGAATCAAAATGACTAAAGGTGTGGAAATTGTTGTTATGAGAATACTGGAACTTAGACACATAAATGGTTAAGTATGAGGTGGGACTGGCAAGTTTAAAAAGAAGTGACACTGTGATTCATTCTGTTTTTGTTGGTGTAAAGCAATTAAACAATTTATTTCATAACCAAAGTAATATATGTATGATAATTTGGAAGAGTTTTTACCTGAATTATATAATTAATTCTATTTTTAAACTTTTAATTATGAAACATTTCAAAAACACTAGCATGCAAAAAATAATACATAACAAACATCTATGTACCCACCACTAGAATTAAGTAGATATTAACATTTTGCCTTGTTTCAGGTTTTTTTTTTTTCCCCGTTAAAAGAGAATTAAGTTACAGTTATAGTTAAAACTTTACCCCCTCAATCCTTTCTCTCTCTCCTCAGAGGCAGCCACTGTAGAAAGGATTTTGTTAGCCACTTTTTCTGGAAAATATATGCAGGGAGCCAAAGGTAAATTTCTGCCGGTGGTCTAAAAAAGGCATAATCAGCAGGAGAGAGAAAATGGATTCTGTATTAGTGTAAAACAATTCATTAATGTATATATGAGATGATGATTGGTTTGGGATTTTTCTTTTGCCAGAGGAGGCTTTAGAATAGGGAGACATGAATTCCAATTTCAACTACTATTTACTGGTAGCTGTACTTAGGTCTGGTCTTGGTTTCATCTTCTGTGAAAGGATAAAAACGTGTGTCGTGCATAATTTTTGTAAGACTAAAACTAAGTTTTCAAAACACACGCACACCTGGGTGCCTGGCTGGCTCAGTTGGAAGAGTGGGCAGCTCTTGATCTTGGGTCATGAATTTGAGCCCCACGGTTGGATGTAGAGATTACTTAAACTTTAAACACACACACACACGTATTTGTGGCACAAGGTAAATGCTTTAAATGTAGTATCAATTATGATTACCAATTTAATTCAGAATTCAAACTGGTCATGCTGGTTAGACTACAGTATTTTCCCAACCCTTTCATTTTGTTTAGTACTTTGGGGCAAACCAGCAGTTTTTTGGGACTGGCTTGTTATACCTACTTTAAGGGCTCCAGATGGCCCAGGCCATTCCACGGGTTAAGGGGATTGATGGGTGTGGTCAGCAGGCATGCCAGTCAGGAAACTGCATCAGAGGATCAGGCTAGTAATAGAGCTTGGTGGACTAGATGCCTTTTTACTGTCCTTTGTGTGGTTAGAGACTACACCCAATCTGTGGAAAAGCTGCCTCACAAGCATGTGCCATTAGTGAAGAAAGGAACTCAGTGAAAAGAGAGAGATTTGCCTCGCCTTTATTAGAAAAAGACCTTCCTTTTGATCAAGTAGCATTATCTTCCTGGAACAATATAATGAAAGTCCTGAAAGTGGAATTGTTGTTCCTAGGAAAGAACAAATTCTGGGTAGTACTTTACCATTTACAAAGGCTTTTGAGTGCATTTGTAGCATTGTACACCTTTACAACAACCCTGTGAGGGGGCTCAAAGATTGAGAGATGTATCTAATACCACATGGCTGATGAAAAGTCATTGAAGCTTAAATACAGGTTTTCCAATTCAGTGTTTTTTCTCCAATTCAGTGTTCTTTCCAATTCTTTCAGAATTCAATATCTCAGAATTCTGTTTTACTATACTGCTGAATTATTTCCCTAACCATGAGCTGAGGAACTTAAAATTTTCACTCGTTTCAGTTCATAACAACTACATGCTTTAAAACCTAAGTTAAAATATACAAAAATCACACAGCTACCTGTAGATCTGTCCCCAGGACAAATCAAGGAAGAAGGTGCAGAAAGAGTAGTTTTGTGATTTTCATTATATCAGTTTCATAATTTTTTTTTCCTAACAATTTCTAAACATAGTAATTTGGGCTTAAAAATAGAGACCTACAAGGTAATTTTTATATTCAAGGCTGGGAAAAAGTGGTGCCTTTCAAAAAAGAGGAAAACTGAGTATGGGAAGTGTACTTGTTATCTACTGCTCAGTAACAATTTTTTTAAAAAATGCAGTGTGGAAACATCTCACATAAATTCTGAGGGCAGGAATTCAGGAGTGGATTAACTGGGTGTTACAGGGTGTCTCATAAGGTTGCAGTAAGATGTTAGCCAATACTAGAATCTTCTGAACACTTGATGAGGCTGAAGGGTGTACTTTCAGAAAGGCTCACTCAACGTGGCCTTTGGCTGGAAGCCTGTTTCTTGCTCAGTAGACCTGTATCTCTATAGGACTGCTTATTACATGGCAGAGAAGTTCCCCCCAGAGAAAAAAATCATTCAGTAGAGGGACCAAGTGCCTTTTATTATCTAGTCTTATTTAGCCCATTGTCACTCCTGCTTTTTTTTTTTTATTTCTTAGAAGCAAATCACTAACTCTAACCCACACTCAAGGGGAGGGGAATTAGGCTCCATCCCTTGATAGGAGGAGAAGCACAGAATTTGTGGACATGTTTAAAGATGCACATAACTAAATTTGAGCAAATTCTGTTAAGTGTAGGCAGTGAAGACAAAATGTGGTAGGGTATTTAATATGAGAATTGCCCTCGTACAAATTGAAGCAAATGAGATCACTTAGATATTGAAGTCTTGGTTTCAAAAAAATCAAAGAACTTTGAAAAATGAAATCAGATTGAGTAAGTTAAATTTTAACTGGACTTGATGTTTATATAAAGCAGTTAAATAATAAATGGGTTTCTGTAATAAATACTACTGTAGTATTACTATAATATTTTCACGTTAATGGAACTTTAATATGATTGCTGTAGATTTCCAACTGATACCATACAGCGCTCAAAATGGATCAGGGCTGTTAATCGTGTGGACCCCAGAAGCAAAAAGATTTGGATCCCAGGACCAGGTGCTATACTATGTTCCAAACATTTTCAAGAAAGTGACTTTGAGTCATATGGCATAAGAAGAAAGCTGAAAAAAGGAGCTGTGCCTTCTGTTTCTCTATACAAGGTACTTAAATCTAGGTGGAAAAAAAAACAATTCTACAGAGCCTTTAAAAACCAAGGTACCTCACATGAGATTTAAAAAATCCTAAGTCTTAAATCCAGTAATAGATTTTAAATGCTTAGAGAACTTGTTTTGGGTTTTTTTTTAATCTATATGTAATATTGGAATTCTTTTTTTAATTAGGTATATAAATGGAAATCGTTGTCAAGATACACATTAAGATTACTAAACTGATCACAAGAATCAACTAGTAGATGCCTTAGAATTCAGGCTTTTGTTTAAGTGTGAGACAGTTTCCAGTATACTTAGAAATGACACCTTTTTAGGACTTCTCCAGTAATGTTATTGATCTCAACCAAAAATGTACCTAATTATTAGCATTGATATAGAGAGTTATATACAGAAAAGAGAGGGCTTTCCATGAGTCAGTTACCAGTATTCGTGTTACATTCTTTTGTTTCTTGGCCACCTCTTGGCCACCCTTTTATACATGGCTCGTCACTGTCTGCACAGCCTGCAGTAGTCATCTATCTGTTCTATCCTGACGCTACCCTTCCCTCCTCTTATCCATTGGAATCTCCTTTTGGTATTGTTTTGTCTCATTCCTCTATTCAGAAGAATGTAGTTGGTGTCAAATCCAAACTCAAAGCTCCAAGAGCTTCCTTTTAATTGTGCATTTCTACATTTGATCTAACTGCTCTGAATTCTCTTTTCAAACTATTGTATTCTTTTTTCAAATTCTCTTTTCAAACTGCATAGTGAGAAATTGACTTGCTTTCATGCTTTTGTGTAAAATCAACAATAGTTATTATTTACTGAGACCTACAGTAGTCCAGGCCATTGTGTCAGAAGATTTACATAAATTATTTTATCCTTAAAACAACTCTGTATTATTATCCACATTTTACAGATGAGGAGATGAGGGATTGTAGAAGTTTAGTGACAGCTAATAAATGAGGGATCCAGGATTCAAACCCAGATCAGTCTTAATTCCAAAGCCCGTGCTCTGTACACTATGCCTTCCTTTTTGCACAAATAACTTTCCTGTCCCCTCTGTTAAGTCACGTTATTGCTTCTTTAAAAAACTACTCAAAACTCATTTCCACGAAGCCTTCCACATACCACCTTTCTGTTGTTACCTTAACCATTTCAGACACTTTCAGCATCAGGTTACTATTTCTGTAGAGATGAAAAAAACCAAAAAACCCTTTTCACATTTTCCTATAAATACATTTGAAAAAATCAGAGATTCTGACCTTTTTCTTTCATAATTAACTCTCCACAGCAACCAGGTGAGTGCTTTGCATTTTAGTGGTATTTTTATAGACCGTCTTCTGTGTAATTTCAAAAATAACCTGAATTTGATATTTCTGTTGCAGGTTCTGCAGGGTGTACACCTTAAAGGTAAAGCAAGACAGAAAATCCTCAAACAGCCACTTCCTGATAATTCACAAGAGGTTGCTACCGAGGACCATAACTACAGTTTAAAGAGACCTCTGACAATAGGTGCAGAGAAACTGGCTGAGGTGCAACAGATGCTCCAAGTGTCCAAAAAAAGACTGGTCTCTGTAAAAAACTACAGGATGATCAAGAAGAGAAAGGGCTTACGATTAATTGATGCACTAGTAGAAGAGAAACTCCTTTCTGAAGAGACAGAATGTTTGCTACGAGCACAGTTTTCAGGTATGTTCCTCTTTTCCGAATGACCATTATTTACTTTGCTCCTGCCTATGAAAATGTGCTTTTCGCTGAAACATGGAGTCTCGGGGTAAACAAAAAGAAGGAAAAGTAGTTGCCAAAATCCTTTTAGGTATTTCCAGCTTTCAAAGTAATGTGTTTATTATAGGAAAAGCAAAGAAATATATAAATGATAAAAATTACACATGATCCTGCTACCCAGAGATGAGATCATACGGTTGATACCATATACTGTACTTTTCATTTTTTATAAAGCACTCATTTTACTGCAAATTCTTTATAAGCAATTTTAACTGCTACATAATTTATCACTAAAGTGTTTTTGTGGTGGAGTTGAACCAGATAATTTTGCCAGTTCCGTTTGAGCTTGAAAATTCTATGAGTGTCCATATTATTTTCTCAAATACAGAGGATATATATGTCCATTGGAAAGACTACCTACTCTTCTTTGTGAACCAGGTATTTGAAGAGGGACAAAATAAGTATTGCCGACTTACTCTTTGATGAAAGCAGCAGAGATTTTGGATTTACATTATGGTAAAAAATAAGTATGTCTTGTTTCTAGAAAAGAGTAGGTATCTTCAAAGGAGGAGAATATTTTGTGTTCTTCCAGTAGGGGAACAGAGGTAATAAATAGAAATCCCCACCAGGAAAGAGGATTTTTTTTTTTCCTCACCGTAGGCAAGATTGTCTATTCAATCTGAATAGCATCCTATCCTCAGAAGTGTTTCTTGTGTCTCATTTTCACCCTCCGATAAATGGTAACCAGGGAACAAAATAAAACAAATATACTTATAACCCAGAGACTTCGGTTTATCCAGTTATTTCATTCTCTTTCCTATTCCTCTAAAATTCTCCACTTAGGCTGCCAATGAATAGTAAAACATAGTGATTCAAATGGAAACTTTTTTCTTCTCTCTTGAGTGAAATGATCCAAGATGAACAGGAGGAATTAATTGGTCAGGAGGCCCTAAGATTGGATATTAACCTTTGAACAAACTCAGTTAAACTGTGATTGGATTTGGATTTGGATTTGGATGCCCACTGCATTTACATCCAAATGCTATGATCTGTACCTGAAAATGTTACTGTATATACTCTTCATCACAAAGAATAAATAAATTTATTTTAACAGATTTTAAGTGGGAGTTGTATAACTGGAGAGAAACAGCTGAGTACTCTACAGAAATGAAACAGTTTGCATGTACCCTCTACTTGTGCAGTAGCAAAGTCTATGATTATGTAAGAAAGATTCTCAAGCTGCCTCATTCTTCCATCCTCAGGACGTAAGTGAATTACTCTTTAGATGTTAACGAGTATTTTATTATTTTGTTGCATTTTATGTGTTAAGGCTATTCATACTCATACTCTCATTTATTAATCCATTTTCTCTTTTTAGAAACTTTTAGGTGGTATTTGCATATTATCACAGCAGCAAGATTTTCACCAACAAAATGAAGGCATATAGTCTGACAATTTTTTTGCATCCTCCAGATGGCAGAGACACTCTCAGTGATAAAAAAAAAAATCTGGATTCTAATATACTTTAGTAGTTTGGGGACTTCTAAAACCTTTCAGTAGTTTTAATACCAGACTATCCTAGAAAATCTAGAACAGTTCTAGATTGTCACGATTGGTTTGAGGCTAAGCACAAAAATCTGCATTTTTGTAAGCACTGTAGTTGATGCCCGGGGCAGGTTGTTCAGGGAGGAGATTTTGGTAAACAATTTTGTAGGATTTGTGGTCAAAATACATAGATGTATTTATAACTCTTAGTGTTATAACCCTGTGTTATAAGCAAATAACACAGAGGCTTTACAGTAATGTCTTATGAAAGTAATACATAACTTTTACTATTTTTTTTATCACTGGTTTTACAGATACCTATGTATGTATGTATGTATTTGGCTTAAAAGTGACAGAAATTTATTGTCTCACAGTTCTGGAGGCTGGAAGTCCAAAATCAAGGTGTCATCAGGGTTACTTCCTTCTGAGGGCTGTGAGGGAGGAGGGTCTGTTCCATGCCTCTCTTCTTGACTTGTAGGTGGTGGTCTTTTTCCCTGTGTCTCCTTAGATCATCTTCCATTATATATGTGTGTTTTGTGCCCAAACTTCCTCTTTTTTATGAGGGCCAGTCATGTAGAATTAGGATTCACTTTAAAGACCTCATTTTAACTTGATTACCTCTGTAAAGACCATATCTCCGAATAAGGTCACATTCTGAGGTACTGGGGATTAGGACTCCAATGTATCTTTTTTGAGGGACACAATTCAAACAGATAATAGTCATTTTCCTGATGCATAATATAAGCCTCCCCATTACCCACAACCTGTAGGCCAACTCCTTCCTGTGGTTTACTGAACCTCACTGATGTCTGGCCTTAATGAGGAGCAGGGACAATTCACTCATTTAATTATTATTAACATTTAGGGAATTTTCTTCCTGTCTTTTTCCTGTGCTTAGATTTATTAGTTTTTTACATAGTTACGATCTTTAACAACTGCATAGTATCAGGAAGTTGTGCCCTACTTAACCGGTGCATTCTCCAGCTATTGGACATTTATTTATATTGATCAAGCCTAAGAAAGAGACCATGATTATGGATTCTCAAGGAGTTTTGCTATGTAAGGAGCAGAGATATGGACCTGTGGGGCAAAGGGAACATAGGTGGAGGGGAGGGCGTCTGTTGAGAGCACAGTTGTTCTGTGTTTGTGCGCTCAAGGGAATGATCTAGTAGGGGAGAAAATTGGTGATGCACGGGAGAAAGGGTAATTGCGGGGATAACATCTGACACCATTGTGGAGAGACGTCTGGCCTTAATGAGGAGCAGGGACAATTCACTCATTTAAACAGGAAGAAAGGCAGAGATACAGATTCAGTAGGTTAACAGATTGATGGTAGGAAAATGAGTTTTTATTGAATTGCTTCTGTTTTCTCAGTGACATAAAGATAATAGCTGAGGAGCACCTAGGTGGCTCAATCCGTCAAGCAACCCGCTCTTGATCTCGGCTCACATCTTGGTCCTCAGGGTTGTGAGTTCAAGCCCCACATTGGGCTCTGCACTGGGCGTGGAGCCTACTTAAAAAGATAATAGCCGAGAGTTGGGGAAGGAGATAAAAGAAGTTTGGGGAGAAAGGAGAAAACGTGAATAGTTGTTTTTTCCCCTCTGTGATGGTGGAGAAATGGTTATATGGTAAACAATTAGATGATGACAGACCAAGCCAGATTTACATTTTTTTTTTTTAAAAACCCTAGGTTCAGACAGGTGCCTCCCTCACTAATTTCTACTTGTTGTATCTTTCTCTAATTCTTAGCCACTATCAGTCCCTTCTCTAATTTTCTGTGCACTGCTGTTGGATCTTTTTCAGTTCTCTCTTGAATTCTTTATGTCCAGAACCTTTCCAGAGCTCTGCTTCTTGTAATTCCAGTTCTTTGGGTCTTGAAGGTTTGTTTTCACATATCTTTTGTAAGAATGTCATAACATCCTTAGCCTTCCTTATTTTAACAGTGATAAATATGGAATGATCTTATAGATTTTTTTCTAATTTTCTATTTAGATATTGATTGCAATTTAGTAAATTAGCTCCCTCTAATAGGGAAGGTGATATGAGAGATTGAAAGGTAAACAAGACCATGGGAGGATCTAATAGTCTTGAAAAACACTCAGCTCAACATTATGGCTCTTCAGCGCTGTAATTTTTCCAGGCAGAGTTTTAAGCCACGCAATGGACTCCCTGTGATCACTCCATAAATAAGCTATTGTTTAATTTAAAATATCATGTTGATGAGAATGTAAATCATTGGTAAAAACTCTGTGAAAAAAAATTTGGGAATGTGAATTAATTTTAAATTGATTCACCCAATTATGTGCACTGGAGGTCCAAGATTGGTTTTTAATTTTTTTTTTAAAGATTTTATTTATTTATTTATTTATTTGAAAGAGAGAGAATGAGAGAGAGAGAGCACATGAGAGGGGGGAGGGTCAGAGGGCGAAGCAGACTCCCTGCTGAGCAGGGAGCCCGATGCGGGACTCGATCCAGGGACTCCAGGATCATGACCTGAGCCGAAGGCAGTCGCCCAACCAACTGAGCCACCCAGGTGCCCTGTTTTTAATTTCTTATAAAAGTTGAATCCAGGGGCACCTGGTGGCTTAGTCGATTAAGCAACTGCCTTCAGCTCAGGTCATGATCCCAGGGTTCTGGGATCGAGCCCCATGTCGGGCTCCCTGCTCAGCGGAGAGACTGCTTCTCCTTCTCCCTCTGCAGCTCCCTCTGCTATTTCCCTGCTTGTGCTCTCTCACACTCTCTCTCTCTCTCTGTCAAATAAATAAATAAAATCTTAGAAAAAAAAGTTGAATCCATGCATTTCAATGCTAGTGTAAGTAAATTTACCTTTCTATCCTACTACTAGGAATTGCATAAGTGACATGAATACGTACATGTATATATGTGCACCCAAGTACACAGTACAGTACTGTTTGTATTATCTAAAAAATGGAAACAACCTGAACATCTTTCGTTATAGGTTAAATTACTTATGGCTTACCTATACTGTGGTATACCATGTACACATTTAAATGGCGGTAGGTCAGTAATTAAGGACACAGAAAAATATTTCTGTAACATTACTATTAAGTAAAAAAAATAGATTCAGTATAAATTTTGAAAATTGTGTCTAGGTGTATATACATAAAGAAATCTGGAAGAACGTCCCTGAAATAGTAAAGTGACTATTATTTTTTGTACCTTTTGGTATTGTTTTACTTTGTAAAAAAATGACACATTTTTTTAATCAAAAAATTTTTTCATTTTGAAGGGGAAGAAAGGTTTGAGACAGAAATCAGTCACTTCTCTACAGTTCTAAGTCACAAATGGTTTGGATATTTCCACTCTCAGTTACAAAAACTTTTAGAAACAAGGCCACATATCTTTCTGCCTGATATTCAAGACCTCATTCTCGTAGCTATGAACATTAAGATACCATTTAGAATTCCATTTAAAAATCAAACTCAAAGAACGTAAGCTTTCTTAGCCTATTTATTAATTTTTTTAAAGATTTTTATTTGTCAGAGAGAGAGGACACAGCAGGGGGAATGGCAGGCAGAGGGAGAAGCAGGCTTCCTGCTGAGCAGGGAGCCCAATGCAGGACTCAGTCCCAGGACCCTGGGATCATGACCTGAGCCGAAGGCAGTCGCTTAACCGACTGAGCCACCCAGGCGTCCCTTCTTAGCCTATTTAAAATAAAAACTTTTACGTAGAGGCATGAAGTAGTTTCATTACATACTGACTCCATATGCAGCACGGTTAGCATCTTTGGTGTTCACTTGAGGAATCTTAATGCAAGAAACAAAAATTTTAACAACTAAAATTTGGAGACACATTTGCAAAGGGCATCCAACATACTACTGGGCTATAGCATTGCCCTGTTTTGTCATTATCTTGCTATTTTAAAGTATCAACAGCTGATTAATACTTAAAATTTTTTTGATTAATACTTTTGTCTCTTAAATAGGTTAAAAGCAACTTAAAATATGTCTTTTGCATCCTATAAATGTGTTTTTCAAATCCATTAGTGCATCTGGAAATTTAGTGGGTCATAATTGGCATTATATACACACATGTTATATATGTGTGCATGGCATGTAGTGAGGGTGAATTTCATTTATGGAACTTTTAGGTTGCAGCAAAATATTTGGAAAGCCCTGTCCTGAAATACTTAGGTACGTTAGAGTCTCAGTTAGAGGTCGGCTGTCCAAGAAGAAACCTTGGCAGCTTAGAATATAGCCCAAAAATCAGAAATATAACCTCCCCTGGGGCACCTGGGTGACTCAATCAGTTAAGCATCTGCGTTTGGCTGAGGTCATGATTACAGGGTCCTGGGATCAAGCCCCACATCGGGCTTCCTGTTCAGTGGGGAGTCTGCTTCTCCCTCTCCCTCTGCCTGTACCCCTGCTCATGCTAGCACGCCTGCTCTCTCTCTCTCTCTCTCTCTCAAATAAAAAAATCTTAAAAAAAGAGGGCCCATGGGTGACTCAGTCAGTTAAGCATCTGCCTTCGGCTTAGGTTATGATCATGGGTCCTGGGATCAAGCCCCACATTAGGCTCCCTGCTAAGCAGGGAGTCTGCTCCTCCCTCTCCCTCTGCTCCTCCCTCTGCTTGTGCTCTGTCTCTCTCTCAAATAAATAAATAAAATCTTTTAAAAAATGGAAAGAAATATACCCCCCCCAAAAGTCATTTGAGTTACAGAAGTAAACTTCAGGGGCACCTGGTGGCTCAGTCTGTTAAGCGGCTGCCTTCGGCTTGGGTCATGATCTCAGAGTGCTGGGATCTAGCCCCACAGTGGGGTCTGCTCAGCGGGGAGCCTGCTTCTCCCTCTCCCTCTGCCTGCCGCTCTGCCTGCTTGTGCTGTCTCTCTGTCTCTCTCTCTCAAATAAAATCTTTTTTTTTTTTTTTAAAGTAAACTTCGGTTAAGATGAACACTCCGTCTCTACTTCAGAATCCATTTAGTCTTATTTTAGACAGTGATTAACTTGGCTGTTGCCTTTCCTGGCCCTACAACAAATTAGAAAGAGTAAATTAGAACTAAGTGAAAAGGATTCTGAAGACAGAGGCTAACATTAATAGGAAAGCATAATCAGGAGTCTGGGAAGGTCAGGGACACTACAAAAGAACTGCTAAGGTAGTAATGTAGGTACTTTGGTAGGGCAGACAGATGTAGACTCCTTAATTGTCCCTGAGGGCATAATTTTGAGACTGCAGGGAGCGGAGGGAAAAGCATGAGCAGGACCTTGGGAAAGCTGGGTTTCCTGTTTGTGCAGAGCTAGCAGCACAGTAAGGGCCACGTGGTTCAAGCTCTCCCTCTGTCCCAGTTTCCTAATCTGTAAAATGAGGTAGATGTGCTAGATACTCTCAAACTTCCTTCCCCTTCAGCAGTTTTCTCATTTCATTGAATTTACAGTTAAGACCAGTTTATGATCTAAATTATAAATACATCAATGAGAACAAACTAGGTAATTGATTTGTATACTTTTTAAAAAAAGTAAATGAACAAGAAAATTGCTTCGTGGTATGTTTTGCATCTTGAAATACTACTGTTTCTGAGTTTCTCTGTTACCTTCTTATTTTAGAGTAATTATATGAATACATGCTTGAAAATAACTGTAGAATGTGGCTACTTATACTTGGCATTGTTTCTATAGGGATTTGAGGCTACTTTGGGACCATTTTTTTTTTTTAAGATTTTATTTAGGGGTGCCTGGGTGGCTTAGTCGATTAAGCATCTGCCTTCCACTCAGGTCGTGATCCCGGGGTCCTGGGATCGAGCCCCACATTGGGCCCCCTGCTTACTGGGGAGCCTGCTTCTCCCTCTCCCCACCCCCTCTCATGCTTGTGCTCCCTGTCTCTAATATAAATAAAGAAATAAAATCTTTTTTAAAAAAATAAAGATTTTATTTACTCATTGGAGAGGGAGAGAGCATCTGAAGCAGACTCCACACTGAGCGCAGAGCCTGATGTGGGGTCCGATCCAGGACTGCGAAGTCGTGACCTGAACCAAAACCAAGAGCTGACGCTCAACCAACTGAACCAGCCAGACACCCCTACTTTTGTACCGTTTAAGTCATTTTTCCTTCTTTTATTTTTTCATTTGAATTTTATCATTTTCATTTTTTTCCCATTTTCCAGATGGTTATCCAAATGCAAACCCAGCCCAGGTTTCAACAGCAACATTTTTTCTTTTCTTCAGCGAAGAGTGGAGAAGGGAGAGCAGCTCTATCAGTATTGTTCACTGACCATAAAAGGCCTCTCTCTCAAGCAGCAGCTCCAGTGGGACCCTAACAGTCACCGTCTGCAAGGGTTTATGGACTTTGGCCTCGGTGCACTGGATGCTGATGAAACGCCCCTCGCCTCCGAAACGATTTTGTTAATGGCAGTGGGTATTTCTGGTCACTGGCGAGCACCTCTTGGTTATTTTTTTGTAAACAGGGCATCTGGATATTTGCAAGCTCAGCTGCTGCGTCTTACCATCGGCAAACTGAGTGACATAGGGATCACAGTTCTGGCTGTTACGTCTGATGCTACAGCTCACAGTGTTCAGATGGCAAAAGCCTTGGGGATACATATCGACGGAGACAACATGAAGTGTACGTTTCAGCATCCTTCATCTTCCAGCCAGCAGATTGCATACTTTTTTGATTCTTGCCACTTGCTCAGATTAATAAGAAACGCGTTTCAGAATTTGCAAAGCATTCAGTTCATTAATGGCACAGCACATTGGCAGCACCTCGTGGAGTTAGGAGCACTAGGGGAACAGGAATTAGCAAATATGGAAAGACTCCCAAGAAAACTTACAAATCTGAAAAACCATGTACTGAAGATGAACTGCGCTGCCCAAGTGTTCAGTGAGAGCGTGGCCAGTGCGTTGGAGTGCCTGCTGTCGTTAGGCCTGCCTCCGTTTCAAAACTGTATTGGTACCGTCCACTTTTTACGCTTAATTAACAACCTGTTTGACATCTTTAATAGTAGGAACTGTTATGGAAAGGGACTTAAAGGCCCTCTACTGCCTGAAACTTACAGTAAAATTAATCGTGTGCTAATTGAAGCCAAGACTATCTTTGTGACATTATCTGATGCTAGCAACAATCAAATAATTAAAGGTAAGCGAAAACTAGGATTCCTGGGATTTTTACTTAATGCTGAGAGCTTAAAATGGCTCTACCAGAATTATGTTTTCCCTAAGGTCATGCCTTTTCCCTATCTTCTGACTTATAAATTCAGTCAAGACCATCTGGAATTATTTCTGAAGATGCTTAGACAGGTATTAGTAACCAGTTCTAACCCTACCTGTATGGCATTCCAGAGAGCTTACCATAATTTGGAGACTAGATACAGATTACAAGACGAAGTTTTTCTAAGTGAGGTAAGCATCCTTGACATTTCAATTGCTCGAAGGACAGACTTGGCCCTTTGGACAGTTCAGCGTCAGTATGGTGTCAGTGTTATAAAGACTCTTTTTCACAAAGAGGATATTTGCCAAGACTGGTCTTATTGTTCTCTAAGTGAGGCATTACTCGATCTGTCAGATCACAGGCGAAAACTCACCTGTTGTGCCAGTTATATTGCAAATAAGTTATCAGCTCTTTTAACTTGTGAGGACTGCATCAGTGCACTGTATGCTTCGGATCTCAAAGTTGCTAAAATTGGGTCACTGTTATGTGTTAAAAAGAAGAATGGTTTGCATTTCCCTTCGGAAAGTCTATGTCAAGTCATAAATATTTGTGAGCGAATTGTAAGAACCCATTCAAGAATGGCAGTCTATGAACTACTTCCTAAACAGAGAGAATTGTATCTCCAGCAGAAAATATTATGTGAGCTTTCTGGGCATATTTATCTTTTTGTAGACTTAGATGAGCATCTCTTTGATGGAGAAGTGTGTGCCATCAATCACTTCGTAAAGTTACTAAAGGATATAATAATTTGTTTCTTAAAGATCAGAGCTAAAGATGTAGCGCAGTACCCTTTAAAACACCATTCAGAAAGACTTGAAATGAAAACTTTGTCAAGGAAACACTGGTCACCTTTACAGGATTACAGATGTTCAGGTTTTGCTAATACCAATAAATTCAGGCATTTGTTAAGTAATGATGGATATCCATTCAAATGAGGGACTTAAAATATGTCAGTTTTTATGAAGAATAATTGGTCAACATTTTTTAAAGTTCAACTTACTGTATTTTATAAATTGACCATTTTGCACAGTTGACAAGTTTGTAATTCTGACTTATTAGAATTTCTAATTATGCATATTATAAAATCTCATACTTTGGTTTGCAGCATTTCAGTTACTTGGATCATAGAAAGCTGTAAGTCAGTAGGAGCAGACTAGCCAACAGATGCTGCTTTTGAATATACTACTCTAAGACTGAGTAATGGGACTGGACATACTTTTAACTTGTTCAGTCTATTTTAAAATGAGAGAATAACTAAGAGTGATTAAAACATTGACTCTGACAGATAGACTACCTTCCCTAAAAGTGCTTTGGTTTACAGCTCTTAAGAATGTTGACAGGAAAAAAAAAAAAGTAAAAGGAGTGTTGACAAAATACCTATAAAACCTTGGATATAATTTTTACTTACACAAGAAAATTCAGATGTGTTTGAAGATTAGGCTAACTTAAAATACCAAATACCACAAAATCCCTTTGCCAAGGTACCCAAAACAGAAATGTGCTGCAACGAAGCTGGGGAATGTAGTCCGGGAAGTACATAAGTGATGTCATTTTCACAATCCATTGTCCTTGGACTTCGAAATACTATTTTTGAGTAATAGAGTGGGTACTTACTTGACCACCGGAAGAGCCCGATGCCCATCAGAGAATGAAGAGAAGCCTTATTCCAGCTTCTCCTTCTGAAGTCTCCTTGTGTTTGCAGAGAGGCTGAAATAAATATATTTTCAGTGTTGAGTGAATAATGGGATTCACGCCATGCGATTAATAAATTAGAAAAATATGGTCAATTGAGACAATGGTTATGAAAATATTTGTCTTAATTATATAATGAGTTTTTTCAGAAATTGAGAGGCGCTTAAATAATCTGAAGATGGAAACATACAAAGAACAATTTTCTCCATTCTCTCACACCCAGAATTGAAAAGATGAATAGAAAAACATACAGGTATATGTACTTTCACATATGGGGAGTGTTTTAAATGGATAAAAGAAACAAACACATGATGATTCATCTCTGTGTGTAAAACATTTACTCTTCTTGTCATTGAGTGAATATTCACAAAGTACAGTTCATATGAAAACTTAAAATTGCAGAAGATTAACGACTAGGTAAAAGTTGAGTTTTATTAATTGAAATTCTCCTTAAATTGTGTATTTTTATATGTTTGTTTGTTCTACCTCAAAGGCTTAAGTTTTGAGATGTAACCAGAGTTGTACTACATTTTATGCAAGAGCTATTGCTGAGAAGTCTAAAGATTGTGGTTTTTGCTTGTAATAGAATGAGTTTAGATGCACCGGATAAATCTTATTTAAAGGAAGCCTATTTGTAAATCACCACCTTTTTAACTTATTGTTTGTATAAATCCAAGTTTTGGCCTGAACTTTACTTAAAACTAGGTTCATATCTGTAGGTGTCTGTTCTTTGCTGTTGCATTTTACTACTGTACTAATATATACTGTAGTTTAAGAAATTAGTGTTTTGCATTATTTCTTCAAATGCTGGATAAACTGGACAAACATGGAAGACACAAATATTTCCTTCACTGCCTTTAACGGTTACTTGCTCTTGCCCTAGTGAAAGTGTTTCAAGTCTGATATCAGGTTTACTTCACATGATATGCTTTACAGTGAATTTTTAAAATTATTCATATTTGATTAGGGTAATTTAGTTTATATTTTTCACTTAGCACCTTTGTCCTTTTTTCTTCAGAGAAAACAAACATTCTCTTCAGAAACTTATCTTTCCTGCTTTTCAACAAATAGTGCTGAAACAACTGGATGTCCACATGCAAAAGTATTAACTCTAAGTGGGTCAAAGACCTAAATGTAAAAGGTAAGACTAAAAACTCTTAGAAGGAAATGGAGTAAATCCTTAGTACTTCGATTAGGCAATAGTTTCTTAAATATGACCCGCAAAACATAAACAACAAAAGGTAAATTGGACTTCACCAAAATTAAAAACTTGTGCTTCAAAGGATACCGTCAAGAGACAACCCATAGAATGGGAGAAAATTTTTACTAATATATCCGATAAAGGACTTGTATCCAGAATATACGAAGAACTCCTATAACTCAATAATGAAGGACAAATAACCCAGTTTGAAAAATGGGTAAAGAACATGAATAGACATTCTTCAAAGGAGATCTACAGATGGCCTGTAATACATGAATATATACCAAACATCCTGAACCATCTGGGAAATGTAAATCAAAACCACAATGAGGTATCCCTTTACACCCACTGGGATGGCAATAAGACAGATAATAACAAGTGTTGACAACAATGTGGAGAAATTGAAACCCTCATACACTGTTGGTGGGAGTGCAGATGCTTTGGAAAACAGCTTGGCAGTTCTTCAAAGGGTTAGTTAAACATAGAGTTACCATATCTCCCAGCAGTTCTACTGACAGGCATATACCCAAGAGAAATGAAAACATGTCCATTTAAAAACTTGTACACAAATTTCATAGCATTATTATGGCTAAAAAAGTGAAAATGCCTAAATGTCCAACTGATGATAAATAAAAATGTGCTGTATCCATTACCAATGGGTAATATGGTAGACATATGTTGTACTGCCAGAACTCTTTTTGTGAAATGACTGTACCACTCTGCATTCCAATGAGGAGTGTATGAAAGTTCAGTAGCTCTCCTTTCTTCCCAGTATTTGGTAGTGCCAGGGTTTTGTTTTGAATTAGCCATCTTAATAGGTGTGCAGTGATATTTCATTGTGGCTTTCATTTCCATTTTCCTAATGGCTAAAGATGCTGAGCATCTTTTGATAGGATTATTTGCCATCCACATAATCTTAGGTGAAAGGTCTGTTCAAGTCTTTTGCCCATATTTTGGAAAGCTGGGTTTTTTTATTGTTACATATTTTGGATATAAGTGCCCTATCTGATGTATTTTGCAAATATTTTCTGCCAATCTGTGGCTTTTCTTTCTTAGTGTGTTTTGAAGAGCAGACATTAATTTTGCTGAGTTCAATTTATCGATTTTTTTCTTTTAGGGATCATACCTAGTTTCATACTTTGCCTAACTCAAGGCCACAGAGATTTTTCTTGTTTTCTTCTAGGTATTTTGTAGCTTTAGGTTTTGCATTTAGGTTATGATCCATTTTCAGTTAATTTTGGTCTGTGGTATAAGTTGAGTTTCATATATTTTTACATATGGATATCCCAGCACTGTTTGTTAAAAAGATTATTCTTTCTTCCCTGAATGACCTTTGAACGCTTGTCAAAAATCGACCACTTATATATGGGTCTACTTCTGGGTTTTCTGTTCTGCTCCATTGATCCACAGGTTTAACACTTCACCAGTACCACAGTGACCTGATTAGCCTTATATGACTCTTGAAGCTAGGTGGGAGTCTTTCAACTCTGTTCTTTATTCAGAAATATTTGAATTGTACCTTTCTATATAAATTTTATAATCAACTTGATTTTTACAAAAATTCCTGCTGGGATTTTGACTGGAGTTTTGTGGAATCTAAAGATCAATTTGGAGAGAAATGAGATCTTAATAATATTGAATGTTCCAATCCATGAACATTGTATATCTTTTAAGGTCTTCTTTAATTTTATCAATGTTTTCTACATTTCACCTACAGATCTTGTATATATTTGTTACATTTCATGTTTTGTGGTGCTACTATAAATGGTAATTGTAAAAATTTTTTTCTAAATGTTCATTGCTACTATGTAAAAATACAGTTTTGTATATTGACTTTGCTTAAACTCACTCCAGTAGCTTTTTTTTTTAAAGATTGCTATGACTTTCCTATGTAGGCAGTCATATCATCCACCAGCAGATACTGTCTTATTCATTTCCAATCTGTGTCTTCTTCCCCTTCCCCCCACCTTACTGTACGGTGACGTGCAACACAATGTGGACCAAGAGTGCCTTGTTCCCAGTCTTTGAGGGGGAAACATTCAGTCTTCATCACTCATGATGTTAGCTGTAGACTTTTTGGTAAATGGTCTATTTAGGTTGATAATCCCTTCTCTTGCTCATTTGCCGAAGAGAGTGTGTGTGTGTTTAAATCATAAATGGGTCTTGAATTTTGTCAGATAATTTTTCTGCACCTTTTTTTTTGAAAAACATTTGAGATATAATCTACATACTGTAATATTTACCTTTTTAAAGCATATAATTCAGCAGTTTTTAGTATATTCAAAAGGTTTCCTGCAACTTCTGAGATGATCATATAGTTTTACTTCTTTTGATGTTGATAGTGAATTACATTGGTTATTTTTAATGTTGAGTCAACCTTTTATTCCTGAGATAAAACCCAACCTGCTCATGATGCATTCTTTTTATCCATTGCCAGATTTCATTTGATAATAGAATCAATTACAGAGTTGAAGTCTGTAGCCTTACAGTAAATATTATCCTGAATATATTTATTTTCTTACTGCTTTTGAGTAAAAACTAAACATGCCTTAAATGCTTTCATAAAACTTACTATTTAGAATTTTTAAAGAGGCCTTTATACATTTCATTTTATAAAAAAATCACTTGGATCATAAAACTCACATGTGATCTATAGATAATGCCAAAATCTGCATTAAAGAAGCCCTCACACACACACAAAAAGTCCTAAGTAATTAACATAATAGAAAATAATTCCAATAGTAAAGGCTTTCTAGCTTCCCTCTCTGAGTTGCTGCTGTGGAATTTCTACATAAAATGCTGAAAAAGGATGCAACATGATGCTGGAGGTCCTGCTTTGAAGCTGCATTTACATAAGTATTTATTTTCTTAACTACTTGTGTTACAGAACAATAAAAGTGGAAAACTTTTCTAAAGGTATTTTTATTCACATTTTACATAAGATTGAGAAAATGTCAGTTGTCCCTATGAAAGAATAGGGAAGCTAAAGCAGTAGTCTCTCCTTATGGTTGCTGCTGTGGTTGTTTTATTGCAGGCAACATTAAGGTTCTGTTTCTACATAATCCAGAGATAAGACCTACAGATTGCTTTTAGTTCTTGAGAGAAAAGGAAACTAAGAAAGGTGCTCACCATAAAAAC